TAAAAGATTTCCTTATCTGTCAAACCAATGCCAAAGTATAACTTCACAGGATGCTCCGAATTCCTCGTTTTAGGGAAGAAAGTGCTTCTTGTAGGAGTTGTCATAAAAATACAACTTGTTTCTCGTAATTTTATGACTTTATTCTTTTAATGTTACGGCTTTATTCTCGAAATGGAGAACATAAACTCTCTAGCCTGGCCCCAATACTCCGTGGTAGCAGCCCTAGATCCTTGCCTGAACTGATCATACACTATTCTACAGCTGATTAACCCAGAGACCAAAGCCACACTGGCCATCCTCTGCTACAAACCCATTATTGGTTTGATGGTTTGATTGGTCATGTTTATGCCAAAATAAATTACATGAGACCAAATTGTTGCTTAGGCATGGCCAGGGCAGTGAGGGACATTAAAAGATCCACTTTCTTTGAATAGATTTCGATATGCATAGCTTGAAAGACGGCCACATAAATACTAAAAAACACGGCAATTTCTCCTTAGAAAGAAAATAAAAATACAAAATAGCTTTCCTGGAAAAGTTAGATAATGCATAGTTTTCAGATATTAATCACCACAGCTTGTGAAAGAGCCTCTTCTTAAGCAAAGCTGTTTTCTGTTAGCTGTTTTTGTTGGTTTATAAACGATCCCCTTTCTGTGCTGCTGCAGCCCGGTTCTATAATTTACTTGGCCTCTACAGGACCAAGACGACGTACTTTTCCTCTGCTCTCTGTGTGTGGTGGCTAACGCTCTCCCCCTGCGAGAGCCCCCCTTACTTGAGCTTTTGCCTGATGGAAAATCTCATGCCTCAGAGAGAGAGTGCACATGTCTCGCAGACAGCTGCTGAGCGTCCTGCAGCACGCTGGCCTCCACATGGGTCTGGCTCACATCGCTGTGCATCTGCTTTGATTGTTGTTACATAACCTGGCATTTTGTTCTCCCAAGCATCCCAGCCCTCTTCTTCACCCTCCCCTAACACTGCGTACCCCATAGAGAACAACTTTTAACCTTCAGTTGAGCGTTTTTTAATAGTTTTCCTTTATCTTCTGAGAACTCTTCTTTTTGAATATGCCTAATTATATAAGTACATGTCCTTTATTTAGCGGTGAAACAGATAAATATAACATGACACTCTGAACAAAAGAATCACTAATAAATGCAAATACTTCACTGGCAGTTTTAAAGTTTTATTTTAGTTGATTTCTCTGTTAAAATGTTCTGTACAGTCAGAAGATATTTTAATGGACAAGTTTGGGCATAAAGGCAAGGCAAGGCAAATTTATTTGTATAGCACAATTCAGTACAAAGACAATGCAAAGTGCTTTACATGATTAAAATATAAGAAAATAAAACTGAATCAAAGCAAGTAGGAACAAATAAAAAATGCAGAAACAAAAAAGAATAATAAAAACAGTTGGACTAAAGAAAATAAAAAGTTGAACCAATGATGTTTTTGTTGAACTGTTTAACTAGAACAGTGGAAGGCAATCCTAAACAAACGTGTTTTTAGTCTTGATTTAAAGGAACTCAGGCTTTCCGCACTTTTCCAGTTTTCTGGTAGTTTGTTCCAGATAAGTGGAGCATAGGAACTAAATGCTGCTTCTCTATGTTTAGTTCTGGTTCTAGGTCTGCAGAGCAGGCTGGAGCCAGAAGACCTGAGTGGTCTGGAGGGTTGATACACTGATAGCAAGTCTGTGATGTATTTAGGTGCTAAGCCATTCAGAGATTTATAGACTAACAGAAGTATTTTAAAGTCTATTCTCTGAGATACAGGGAGCCAGTGGAAGGACTTTAGAACTGGGGTGATGTGCTCTACTTTCTTAGTCTTAGTGAGGACACGGGCAGCAGCGTTCTGGATCAGCTGCAGCTGTCTGATCCACTTTTTAGGCAGACCTGTGAAAACACCGTTGCAGTAATCAATTCGACTAAAAATAAACGCATGGATTAGTTTTTCCAGATCATGCTGAGACATTAGTCCTTTAATCCTGGAAATGTTCTCCAGGTGATAGAAAGCCCACCTTGTAATTGTCTTTAAATGCTTTTGGAGGTTCAAGTCTGAATCCAGCTCTACACCTAGATTTGGGGCCTGATCAGTGGTTACTAGCTGAAGCGACTGAAGCTGTGTGCTAACTTTAGATCTCTCCTCTATTGGTCCAAAGATTATTACTTCAGTTTTGATTTTATTCAGTTGAAGAAAATTATGGCATGGCTAAATTATGTTTTTTTTCCCCCCTCATCAGTGCTCTGTAGCGCCACCCTAAAGGCAAAAGCCAATTGGGTGTGGGTGTGGGGTTCTCTGTAACTCCTCCCTCATCTCCATGGTTGCAGTGTGTACTTCAGGTGTTTCCTGGAATGGTCCTTTAAAGTGCAATCATTTCCGTTCCCCTCAGCGGTCAGGTGTTGTTACCTGGGTGGAGAGGATCGAAGTAACGTTGCAACTAACGATTATTTTATTAGTTATCTGTTGATTAGGTCTGGCGTTCCAAAAAAGAACTGCATCTAGGGCTGAAACAATTCATTGGATTAATCAGTTATTTAAATAATGGTCAACCAATTTAAGAATTGTTTAATCGTTAACTGGAATATAGAGACTATAAAAGGTGTCTTTAGCTGACAGAACGACTCACTTAGAGCAGGAATTATACCAAGATTGTAAAAAAGTTATAATCTGTCAGTATGCTCTATCCAGAACTCCTCAAGTAAGAAAGTGTTAGTTTCACCTGGTTCAATTTCGTAAAAAGATTTTATTAAAAAAATCTTTGGCTATTCGATTATTAATCATCATTAATCAACAGATTAATCTATTAGCAAAGTAATCGTTAGTTGCGGCGCTATCTGCATATTTTAGTGGGATCATAATCCCGATGAACAGAGGATGTTTGGAGATGGACTTTCTCAGTTAAAGGGGTGTTAAAACTATTTTTCCAACTCATAAAGTAAATAAAGCAAAGCACCGAACAGCCAGAGCGTTAAAGCATCTTGACCAGCGTTTGATCCAGCGTCCAGATTTCTGCCTTTAGGCGTTTTTTGACGCCAAGAAAGGCTTTCAGTGTTAACGAGACATTAAACTTTTGTGATCTACTTTGATTTGTTTTTGCTATTTTGTTGCAGGACAGATTTCCTGTAAAGAGCAGCCTGGACTCCAAAATGGGGGTGAAAACCTTCACCCACAGTTCCACCTCCCACAGCCAGGAGATGCTCGACAAACTAAACGCCCTGCGCAATGAGGGACACCTGTGTGACGTCACCATCCGGGTCCAAGACAAGCTCTTCCTGGCTCATAAAGTGGTCTTGGCCTGCTGCAGCGAATTTTTCCGCTCCAAGCTCGTTGGCCGACCAGAAGAAGAGGAAAAGTTTGTGTTGGACCTTCATCATGTGACCGTCAGCGGGTTCGCTCCACTTTTGGAATACGCCTACACCTCCACCCTTTCCATCAGCACAGAGAACATCATTGACGTCCTGGCTGCTGCTAGCTACATGCAGATGTTTGCTGTGGCTAGCACGTGTTCGGAGTTCATGAAGTCCAGTATTCTGTGGAGCCCGACTAACAACAACGGCCCCGGCATCGCAGCGGATAAACCGCATGAGGCGGCGGCCGAGAGCGCCTCGTCGAACTGTGTCCTGACGCCGCTGGACGGCAGCGTGTCCCCTGTGTCGTCCGACTGCAGCGTGATGGAGAGGAACGTTCCCATCTGCCGGGAATCCCGACGGAAAAGGAAAAGCTTTGTAACGATGGCGTCGCCGGAGAGTCCGCTCAAATGCACTACACAGATGGTCACCACCTCCCCTCAGATTCCCAACCCCTCCCCTTCGTTCTCGGACGGGCCCGCCCCGCCGGTGGAGTCCTCCCTGGCCTTTCCCTGGACTTTCCCTTTTGGCATCGACCGAAGGTTCCACTCGGACAAATCAAAGCTGCCAGAGAGCCCCCGCTGTTTAGAGCAGGGCGCCCCGGGGACCTCGGAGGGCGTGGTCGCCCGTCGGCTCAGCGACTTCCTGACATGCGAGAGCTCCAAGGTGGTGTCCTCGCCGGCGGCAACGGAGGAGGAAGATGTGAGGGTAAAGGTGGAGCGCCTCAGTGATGAGGAGGTTCAGGAGGCATCATCACAGCCGGTCAGCGCCTCTCAGAGCTCCATGAGTGACCAGCAGACGGTGCCAGGGAGCGACCAGGTCCAGGAAGAGCTGCTAATCAGTCCTCAGTCCTCTTCTATAGGTGGGAAATGTCAAATATTAACTTAATATTAGACCAGGGCTGAAACTGAATCGGATTAATCAATAATTGAAATAATTGTCAACTAATTCAGTAATCAATTGATCGTTAACTGGAGTATAGAGACTCTAAAATATGCATTTAGCTGACAGAGAGACCCACTTAGAGCAGGAATTATACCAAAATTGCAAAAATAAAACACAAATATTTTGAATTCAAGATAAAAATCTTTTGTCTATAAATCTGCTCTATCTAGAACTCCCCAAGCTGACAAGTTTTAGTTTCACTTGGTATAATTGTGCAAAACGTCTTCTTTAAGGAACCTTTGGCTATCCGATTATTATTCGAAATAATAATTTACAGATGAATCGATTTGTAATATAATCGTTAGTTGCAGCCCTAGACTGAAATCACCATTAATCCAATTGTTTCAGCTTTGGATGAATCTAAACCTAATCTATTTGAGATTAGCTGCTTTAAGAGTTGTTCGTTTAACTTTGCCTCCATGATTCATTTTACTTTTTGCTTCCCAGGCTCAATGGATGAAGGAGTGTCTGAAAGCTTGCCTTCTATGCAGAGCACCTCTAACGCTGCAGGACACACAGAGGATGATGAGAGGTATCATGACTTTGTTGAGGCCTTTGTCAGAACTTGCCATGAAGAACATATAGACAAGAACCCGATTACAGCATGTCTGAACCCCGCCTGTTTAGATAATAAATCTAGATCTAGAACCTGCTCACGTCAGACATTAAACAACTGACGCATGTTATCGTTGTCTCCTACCACTTAGATGGAAATGGCTTTAAACAGGGCAGACTTGACATCATTTGGAAAGAATTAGAAGAAGAAACCTCCTCGTTAAAAAGTTCCATACAGGCTGACAGGCAAACAGAACTTAATAGAGAACAGAGCAACTCGCAAACATTACATATTCAGATCAATGGAATGGGATACTGATCGGATGGTTTGAAAAATGGACGAAATTTAGCCTGAAAAAAGAACGCAAGAGACTATGGGGGAAAATTAGAATTAACAGCATTGATGAAAAGAACTTAATGATCTTTTTTGGAGCATTGATGCTTATAAAGGATCTATGGTAGAGCTCGTTTGTCCACTTGGGGAGCAGCGGCCTGCTGAGTTTATCCAGGTCTTCAAGGGCTTCATTGGTATCAGTGATGGGGTTTTATAGGCTCTTTCCCACTGAGCGTAACTCTTTAACGAGTGTTTTTCTAACAAGGATCGACCCGCTAACAAATGCCTTCGCTGGCAGCTGGGTGTCTGGTGATAGCATCACACTGGGTTAGCGTTGATGATGTCACCAGTTTGTATACCTTTATTTTTACCTGCAAGTCATTAAGAACAAGTTCTTATTTACAGTGGAGGCCTGACAACTGGAGTAACCACTTAGGAAAAGGAAAGTAGGGCTAAAATAAATACAGTCTATTTGACAGAAATCAGGAACGTGAACAATGGAGAGCGCCGTGAAGAAGCCAGGGTGTAGCTTTATTGTTTCTCTCTGTTAGCTGTCTGAATCCCTCTCACCGTAGCTGCTCCATTTTTATGGAAACAGAGTTGATTCTGCTTGTTGGATAAGAAGCGACTGGCGCTGCGTGTTGACGTCCGTACGTTGGGTTCAATGGTATCACGTAATTTAGCCAGTTAACCCGGTTCTGGTGATCCCACAGCATGCCAATCAGAGCAGAGGATATTTTAACGTGGGTCACTGGCTGAGTTGTTTAACCCAGGTAGACGTGCATCATTGAGCCGTTCCCACTGCCACTAAAAGCCCATTGTTCCCGGGTTTAAGTGGGTTTTTCAGCCAGTGGGAAAGTGGGATATGGAACGATTGTCTGAGAACTTCTGAGGTTAGCAAGCAGTGGAGTTTGTGGAGAAGTCTGCACAAGAAGTCTTAAGGAATTCAACCTTCTTAGATTAACTTTCAGAATGATTTTAGCCAAAAATGTAGCTTAGTGAAGCTGAAATCAGATTTTTGTCAAATATAGATTGTTAAAGTACTTCATGTTTTCTTTGTGTTGTCCGAGTTCCTGTCATTATTTGTTTGGATCATCAAAGCTGCTCATCCCTGGAGAATAAAGCTGTCTCCTTGTGGAAACGGTTTGGAAAAGGCAATTTGGTTTCATCAGTATGGAAGAGGATTAGGGCCAGTGGTAAAAAAAAAAAAAGTTAACTGATTTTTAAATTTTATTTCAGTTTAGTGTGGGAAAAAAGTCAGAATTCTGAGAAAAAAGTCAGAATTCTGAGAAAAAAGTCAGAATTCTGACCTTTTTCCCATGTTAAACTGAAATAAAATTAAAAAAATCAGTTTTTTTGTTTTTTTTTTCAGTGGCCCTAATCCTCTTCCGTACATCAGTGATTTAAAGGTACACTATGCAACCGGTGTTGGTTTTCCAGCGAGGCTCCCCCCAGAGGGCGAAAGTAAAAGTGCACTGTGGTAAA